ATCCGTTCTTCCAGAAAGAAATGGGTTCCGCAAGTTGTTGCCAAGTGAGGCCCAGGTGATTTGGAGGAGTGCAGACTCAGACCCTCATCCATTTGCACCCAATACTGCCAGAGCACCTGCTGCTCCTTTGCCTTGTCCTGGATCGAATCCAACCTCACGACCGTTCGTTTTCGAAAGCGAGAATCGTACCTCGGTATCCGTTGGATCCTCGACTTCCACATCTTTCCACCTTTGGGGCTACGCCAGCTGATAACGATGTTGGTCAATTCTGGCCGTGCACTGGCCCAGAACACCGGTGGTCACTAATGAACGAGGCACATGTCATCTAGGTGAACCATAAGCACTATTGTTACTAGGCTGTAAAGAACCCTCAAATGAGGACAGCCGATTTCTGAGTGGGAGTTGGTCTCGGCAGTGAGTAGGGATGTGAGGGATGTGAGGGGCGTGAGCTGTACGAAAGCCAGCCTCCAAAAGGGAGTACGTTTCCCCCCTTCACCATCCCCAGCATGTCCTACTGTTCTCCGCTGCAAAGAAGGATTATAGACTTAAAAAAGACGTCATCTGATCTTGAAAATGTATCCTCCTGGACTGGTCTGATGAATGAGTTCCATCAATTGCTTCCGGAAACCAAGGAACAAAAATGATCAAAGGCAGCTGTCGAGAGGTTGACCTGACCTGGGACCCAAACAAAATCAGTACATCGGGGAGTTCGGCAAACAGTTCTTCAACCTCTACCGAGAGCGAGCTACAGTTCGGCACGACTGCTCCCACCACCCTTCTCCTGCACCACCGACCGGAATGACCTCTGAGCTCCAAACTCTCTAAGCAGGGCATCTGTAGAGAGCCCACTGGAAGAAGGTGCACGGTCCGATGAAGCCTGGCTATTCTCCAACGGTGGGAAGCTCCAGTGGCTGATTTTCTAGAAACCAACAGCACCATCTTGTGTTTGCCTATCTGCGTCATTTGATGGTTGACCTCACCCATCATGTTAAACCATCTGAATGCGGACGTGCTAGAGATTTGGCCCTGGCCTTGCAGCACAGGTTTTGGGAGGATGTTATTTTACGCCCGGTGTGGATTCAACAAGCACAGACGGAACCTACCCAGGATCGGTCAAGGAATATCAAGGGCTATCCTCTGAACATGATTTAGGTCCGAAGGCCATCCTCTGAGAGTACTTGTAAACCAAAATCAATGTTCAGGAGGTACTCTTGTTGCACTACGACATACTACGACTCACCCTCAGAACCACCAGTACATAGTTTTTTCCAATCCCATACACTACGATGTTATTTTTGCAAGATTATGCATGGTTTAGTTATTCCAGGTCCATGCCACACTTGAAATTTTGAATGCTTTGCGGGAAAACACCTCGGCTCCAGTTGTTCGGTCGCACACAAACAACCAAAAAAAACAAGGGGCCTTGTCTCATCAAATCAAAGAGAGAGGACCACATCAGCGAGGTTTGCACTCCAAAAACAATGATATTACTATTCTCAAAAGAGCTAAATCTTGGATGTGTTGAATTCAATTTTGATTAAGGAACAGGAACAGGAACCAACAATTTTCCTACCATAGTCATAGTGGTATACACATTGTGTTGTTTCCTTTAAAACTTGGCGAGCATTGGACACGTCAATGACAACATATTCATTGCGACCGCACAGGGGGCCACGCTCAATCTCCGGACCCGTTTGTGGTTGTGTGTTTGTGATTGTGTGTTTGTGGGGATGTGTTTGCGGTTGTGTTTGTGGCGGTGTGTTTGTGATTGCGTTTGTGGTTGTGTTTGTGGCCGTGTGTTTGTGATTGTGTTTGTGGCTGTGGTTGCGTTTGTGGTTGTGTGTGTAGTTGTGTGTTTGTGGTTGTGTTTGCGGTTTTGTGTTTGTTGTTGTGCTTGTGGTTGTGTTTGTGGTTGTGTGTTTGTGGATGTGTTTGTGGTTGTGATTGTGTGTTTGTGGTTGTGTGTTTGTGGTTGCGTGTTTGTGGTTGTGTGTTCGTGGTTGTGTGTTTGTGGTTGTGTGTTTGTGGTTGTGTTTGTGGCTGTGTGTTTGTGGGTGTGTGTTTGTGGTTGTGTGTTTGTGTTTGTGT